AGGGCTGTAGAAAAGAAACACCAATAAACTTTTACATTTACAAATTGAAAAATGTAGAAGATTTAAATTATGCTTCCCTATGTCATTTCTCTGTTTATGTACATGTGTCCTATATATATATATAAGAATACATATGTATATAAATACATACACACACAATTGGATGTGCCCCTTCCTAGTGTGGGGAGAGGGGAGACAGACCCTAATGTGGAGACAGTCTCAGGAGAAGTCGCAGAATGGAACAAGATAGTCGATGGGAGCAAGGTGAGTCGGGAACCTAAGGGTGTAGTGAATACTACCTCTCATCATAGTGAGACACTCCAGGGAGTTGATGGTTTGTTGTGTGTGGGGTTTTTTTTTTTTTAAGATTTTACTTATTTATTTCAGACAGAGAGAGAGAGCATGAGCACAAGCAGTGGGGAGGGGCAGAGAGAGAAGGAGGCTCCTGGCTGAGCAGGGAGCCCAGTGTGGGGCTCGATCCCAAGACCCTGGGATCATGACCTGAGCCAAAAGCAGATGCCTAACCAACTGAGCCACCTAGGTGCCCCAGGGAGTTGATGGTTAACTGTTAGTGAATGTATTTTGTCTTGCTCCAATATAGAGTGCTCTCAGGAGCTATTATTTTTGAAGTTTGGAGGCAGTTTCAAAGCTTGCCTGCTCCTCTGTTAAGTAGTGACTTCTTAGGCCCAACCCAAAGAACAGCCAGTCAGATTCTTGTGGGGGTTTAGTTGTGAGTGTAATTCCCCTATGAAATTGTTCTGTCTTGGGCCCTGGTCTCACCATGCCTGGTGGAACAGGACCAGATCCCTGATGGGTTCCATGTTGGAGGATCTTTTTTTTTTTTTAAAGATTTTATGTATTTGTCAGAGAGAGAGAGAGAGAGAACAAGCAGGGGGAGCGGCAGGCAGAGGGAGGGGGAGAAGCAGGCTCCCAACTGAGCAGGGAGCCCAATGCGGGACTTAATCCCAGGACCCTGGGATCATGACCTGAGCCAAAGGCAGACTCTTAACCGACTGAGCCACCCAGGCGCCCCTCGTGTTGGAGGATCCACTGCCCTTTTCCAAGTGCTGGGATTAGGAAGATCATAGGAACCGTGAGTTGAAGATATTTTGAAGTTACTACTTCCCAGACCTGTCTCACCTTTTGAGCAAGCCTAGGAGAGAAACAAATGGAAATGAAACATAAAGCTAGTGCAAAGAGCTTGAGCCATGAAGCCAGACGGACTTGGATTTGAATCTTACCTCTGGCAGTTACGGACAGAAGGACGTTTGTAAGAGTTACTTAAGTATTAGGGCAGCTATCTGGTGCCTCATTTGTAGATTAGAGGTATGGATGCCCTACAAGGATGTTGTGAGGAGTAATTGAAATACGTACAAGGGACATCCAGATCGTGACCAAAGAAATGTCAGTTTCCATCTTCCAGATCCATCCTACAGATGTTTAACTGGGCATTTGCTCCATACGGTTCTCTGTGCTAGGTATATGGGAGAGGCAGGATCAAAGAAGAGGACCTATATTTAGCTCTAACATGTACACAAACAACAACAGAAGAACTCTATCCACACCAGTCTCCTTGCTATTTCTGGAACATCAGGCAAGCTCCTGGCTTGGCACTGGGACACTCGCTGTCCCCTCTTCCTGGAATTCTTATCTCCTACCCTTGACCTCTCTCCGATCTTCTATATTATCTTCTCAGCGAGGCTTTCCCTGATCATCCTGCCTAAGATGGAACTCCCTGGGGCCAGTACTCCCCATCCCACTTGCCTGTTCCCTTGTTTTTCCCTCTGATAAATATGTAGTTTATGTGTGTGTGTTTTCTGTCATACCAAGCTCCTCCTACCTCTTCAGTGTAAACACTCTGATTTCTTTACTGCTCTATTCTCAGTGCCTAGAACATTGCATGACCTAGGTACTCGATAAGTGCTTTTGGAATAGATGAATGATCAGATGACTTAATTTTAGCTACAGGGAGGGTCACATGCCAAGGTCCAGTGGCCAGAAGAACAGCAGGTGTGGTAGGGACTGTAGTAGTTTCCTATGGCTGCTGTAACAGATGATCACAAACTCAGTGGCTTAAAACAACACAAATTTATTATCCTATAATAGTTCTGTAGGTCAGAAGCCTGAGATAGGTCTCACTGGGCAAAAATGAAGGTCCTTGGCAGGGCTACCTTCCTCTGTAGAGTCTCCCGGGGGGATTTGTTTCCTTGACTTTGCTGGCTTCTGGAGGCTGCCTGTACCCCCTGGTCTATGGGTCCCTTCCTCCACCTTCTAAGCTGACAGTGAGGTTGGGTCTTCACGTCACATCACTGACCTCTTCTTCTGCCTCCCTCTTCCACCCTGAAAGACCCTTGTGATTCCACTGGGCCCACCTGGGGAGTTCAGGACACGCTGCTTATTCCCAGATCAGCTAGCCTTAATCCCCCCGGCAACTTAATTCCCCTTTGCTATGTACCCAAACATACATATAGGTTCTGGGAACTGGGACATGGACATCTTTGGGGATCTATTATTCTGACTCCTGTAGAGTCTAACAAGTGAGACATTTTGCCTAGAACCTAAGGCTTGAGCTGCCAGGAGTAAAATATAAAACAGGAAGATTTCATCCTAAGCAGCCATGATTGCCAAAATTTAATATGTGGGGGAGCTCCTGGGTGGCTCAGTCACTTGAGCGTCTGCCTTTGGCTCAGGTCATGATCTCAGGTCCTGGGATTGAATTCCCTGCTTAGCGGGGAGCCTGCTTCTCCCTCTCCCTCCACCTGCTGCTCCACCTGCTTGTATTTTCTCTCTTTCTCTCTCTGTCAAATAAATAAATAAATAAAATCTCTCTTAAAAAAAAAAGATTCAACATGTGAGCTTTATCTGGAAGGTGCTAGGAAGTTGCTTTGGAGTGAGGTGGTGGAACGGAGGCTTTAGGAGATGAATATGGACTTAGGGCAGGTATTTAGGACATTCATCTCTACCTTTTTGAAAAGCAATTTACTTCCATTTCCCTCTCCTATGTATAGAAAGCTAGGTTCTTATTTAGAATTTCCCCCCCAAAAGTAGGGTATACTTATGCTGTCCTTTTAAAAACCACCCTGTGATATTATATGCACAACCTGTATACTTAGAGACCCATAAAACCCTGCTACACACAGGCATACTCACACAAGCATACGTGTTTCCTCGTATGCGCACCCACTGCCTCTCCCTGTTCTTGGGATCTCTTTTCTCTGGCTCTCCGTGGCCCTCTTTTTTTCTCTGCTTTGCCACACCTGAGTGATCTGTATCTTCCTATCAGGCCTACTCTGGCAGTGGTTCTCACAAGAGTCATTGTATAAACATCCCCTAGGAGGCATGTAAAAATCTCCAGGGAGATCTCTATAGTTTGAAAAAGTCTGCCCTCCCTCACCTTTACCATGATTCTGCCATGATTTAATACAACTTCCGCGGTTGGTTCTTCTCCCTAAAACCCACTGAGAATTTAATAAGTATTAAACACCTGGTTTTGAATGGTGTCTGATGACAATTTCTTACGCTTTGATTAGCCTCTTGAAAGCAGTCCAATAGAACTTTCTGTGATGATAGAATTGTTCTATATCTGTGCTACCCAACATGGTAGTTCCAGCCACACGTGGCTATGGAGCTCTTGAAATGGACACACAGGAAAAATAGAGGACCTGCTTCCTAAACCAGAGGACATTTAATAAATGATAACTCACAATTTTGTTTTGAATTTCTTTTTCAGTTGTTAGGTATCCTCTTTTCTTCTTCTTCTTTCTTCTTATCAAACTAAGGGGCACCTGGGTGGCTCAGTCTTTTGGGCGTCTGCCTTCGGCTCAGGTCATGATCCCAAGGTCCTAGGATCAAGTCCCACATCAGGCTCCTTGCTCAGCAGGGAGTCTGCTTCTCCCTCTACCCTTCCCCCCCCCCCACTCGTGATCTCTCTCACTCAAATAAATAAATCAAATCTTTTAAAAAAAAGTCAAAATAAGTTCACCTGGGTGTAATTGTACTCCTTTTACTCTTTCCTAGACTCATTTTGAGTGATAACTACATTTTTGATTCAAGTACCTGTAGGTTTCCAAACAAATGATTCTTTCTCTTGCCTCTCTTCCCCTTCCTGATATATATCAGCTATATTGAGATATAATCCACATCTGATACAAAGCAGTCAAAGTATATAAGTATATTCACAGAGTTGTGGAAACGTGAGCACAGTGGGTTTTACAGCACTTTCATCACCTGGAGAAGAAACGGCATCCTCATTAGCAGTCCTATCCACTTCTCCCGCACCTTCTTCCCCTCCCTCGCCAATTAGTGATTGACTTCCTGTCTGTATGGATTTGCCTATTCTGAACATTTCGTATCAGTGGAATCGTACAGTATGTGGTCCTTTGTGACTGGCTTCTTGCACTTAGCATGGTGTTTTTAGGGGTCATCCGTGTTGTAGTAATTCACTGCTCTTCACTGCCAGTAATATTCCATTGTATGGCTATGTCACATTTTATTTATCCATTCATCAGTTGATGGACATTTGGGTTGTTTCCACCTTAGTTGCTAGAATTATGCTGCTGTGACCATGATGCACAAGTTTTTGGGTGAACATGTGTTTTCCTTTTTCTTGGGTATGTATCTAAGGAGTGGAATTGTTTAGCGATATGGTAACTCTATGTTTAACTTTTTAAGACACTGCCAGACAGTTTTCCAAAGTGCCTGCAACATTTCACCTTGCTACCAGTAATACATGAGAGTTTCAGTTTCTCCACATCCTTGCCAACACTTGTTATTCTTGTCTTTTTGACATCCTTATAGCCAAGCTGGGGGGTGTGAAGTGATACCTCACTGTGGTTTTGATTTGCATTTCCCTGATGGCCAATGATGTTGAGCATCTTTCCATGTGCTTATTAGCCATTTGAATATCTTCTCTGAAGAAATGTCTGTTCAGAGCCTTTGCCCATTTTTTTTTAATTGAATGATTTGTCTTCCTTTCTGTTGTCTTCATTTGGCCTGAACAGGATGCTGATATGCTCACTGGCGATGAGCAAGTATGGAAGGAAGTTCAAGAATCCTTGAAAAAAATTGAAGAACTGAAGGCACATTGGAGTATCCTTTTACCTGTGGATTGAGCCATACCATTGGGACTGTTGCTTCTTTATTGGTTGGAGTTTGGCGTTAATGAAGTCAAGTCCATGGTTTGACCTCTGTCTGAGCCAGTGAGTTTCATTCTGTTTCATGGTCATAGGCTGCATCCCAAATCCCAGCCAACAGTTTGGGTTATGGCTAGGGCAGAGTATGGCAGGATCAGCATGAATACCTCACCACCGTTAGATAGTAACCAAAACTCATGGCCAGTAATAGGACAGTAAGTAGTAGTCTCTGTATATACTAGGTAACAGATTTCTGTATTCCTTTCCTCCCACAACCTACATCTCTAGGAAGGAATAACTTAGAATTCTAAAAAGTTAGTATCATTGACTCTCAGATCTAGAAGTTCATGTTAAATCAACCATGACTACCATGACAGAGGGAGTTGCTGCACAGTAAATTTTCTGGGCATAAATAGTTAAGGACCATGAGTGGGTCAAAGTTCAGGGTAAGGAGAGAGAGCTTATGCTGGAGGTCATCTGGGGAGGCCACACTGATGTTGTACTGGGTAAGTGGTAGTCCAAATCAAGGACAGGGTTTGAATGGACAGAGGCTGAGAGGGAGGTTGCTTCCAGTAGGGGAGTTCACTTGAGCAAAAAACGTGACAAAGGGAAACCCCAAGGCCAAAAGAAATAGACCAAGGTAGATGAAAAAGATAGTGCAAGGTCCTTCGGATGCCTTGGGGAAATTAGATCCCTGACAATAAGAACATCTACAAATGAAGTTTCTATCTACAATGTTTTTTAAAGAATGGTACAGAATAGGAGAGGTAGAATGGACAAATTCCTCTTGTTTTTAAAGGTGAAAGAAGTATCTTCTGAAATCTGAACGGGGTGGGTTTTTTGCTTGTTGAAGTTTGGTAAAGAATCTGTAACTGATTACTAAAGGAATGGAAAAGGGAGCTGTGATCAGCCCGAGGCTGCATGAGTTCACCAAGAGCAAGTGAGTCTGCAGAGACATGGATTTCTTTGGTAAAGTTTGTATGTGGATTTTGGGAAGAGGGTCAATTAAAACCAGTCAAGAAATTGATGCTAGATGCTAGCATGGCCAGACAGCTTTCTAAATGCTTGAATGGCTCTCCTGAGAAAATGATGCCCCTGGGGTCACTGTGACTCTGGAGTGCTCTGTTCCCACCTTGACTTTGACTGCCTTTGACTCTGTGCCTTGAATGGAGATACAGAGCACAGGGTCCTCAGATTCCCAATGGTTATAGGTCAGGGGAATGGCAGAGGTTGGGATGACAGAATCCAGAGCTCAAGATCCCCGAAGGCTTGAATGATGCCTGAATTTGAAAAGGTGAAATTCAACAAGAATATATATAAAATCTTCTATTTGGGTCAAAGAGTTTAAGTGTGTAGACATCAAGCTTACCAGCAGAACATGTGGAACAATTTTAGGGTTTCAGTACACAGCAAAATTTAATCAAGTTTAAGAGGATGATATAACCCCTCAAAAAGCTACTGTGATCTCGGGCTGCATTAACGGCGACTAGGAAATGAGAAAGGTGATCCGTGAGTCTGATCATATCCAGAGTTTTGGGTCCAGTTGGGAGTAGGGCATATTAAGAAGGATCTAGAAAAATTGAATTAAGTTGTGAGGAATGGAGCCAGGATCCAAATGGAGTTTGCAACCCTGTCTGTAGGCAGGATGGGAGATACTGGGAAAACAGTCAGATCTGGGAAGAAGAGGGGGCCCTTCTTGGGCTCAAAAAAACTGTTCTTACTGCAGAGAAGTAGGATCATTCTCTCTGCTCCCCTCCCATGGAATTGGGGTCCTGGATGACCCAGCCACAGTCGGGTGTCAGCGGGACAAGGCTTCACGGAAAAAGGACTCTGTGCCAAGTGATCTGCTGGTTGCAGCCCACCTTCTGGTGCACACAACCCTGCCCTCACAACTCTCACACCTGCTTTGGTACATACATACTTGAGGGGCATCAGAGGCACAGTGGTCAACTCTGGGAGGTGAAAGAAGTTTCCACAGAGGAGGTTATCATTCTCTCTGCTTCGGGGAGGTTCTCCATCCCGCTTCCAGCTAGCGCTCAGCTCCTCCCTGGAACAGAATGACTTGTATGCAACACCAAACAAATACCAGGGACTACATTTTTGAGCAAATACAGTGTCAGCATCCGCTTGGGGGAAAAGCCTCTTAGTTAAAATTATTCAATTTTTTTTGCTCACTGGTGTGTTTCATAGGAGAGGGTTGCCTTGTTTGCCAGCAGACAGTTGCCAGGGTTGTGAAGGAAAATTGGCATGCGGTCCCTTCCAGCTTGCAGGGGATAAAGTAGATGTATTCCTATCAGTGGCTGCAGAATATCACATCTGGTTTTTATTTCTAAGGCTTGTCACCTAAAACCTCTTTCAAATGAGTTGGAGCATATATTAAATGAGTGGGCGAATAGTCATGGAGGTCAAACAACACAATGTTAAAATAAGGCACAAAGTCTTGCCACAGAAATGTCTAGCGTTGTGTAAGAGACAGTCATTCCTCCTGACAGTTCATCAAATATCTAATCCTGGAATGAAAAACCACAGAGGTTAGACCGGCAATCTGTTACAAAATCAGTGTGTTGCCTGAGATACTGCTCCCCCCAACCTCTGGGGATCCATTCGGCACACTTTATCCATACATGTCAGATGAATACAAAAGAAGTCACTGACTCACTTTTCTTCAATAAATGCACCTCGCCTGAGACCAGAGTCAACTCCTCAGAGACAGGACTCATCCTAAAATTACAGGATAGTATACAAGAAGTGTGAAATAAAGGCCTTCAGCTGTGCGTTGTGGTGCTTGCAAATCTCACCAAGGAAGTCGTGCCTTGGGGGTAAGGCTATGCTATGCTTCCAGGGGGCCCCCACTGAAAAGAAACACGCATTTCCCATGAGGGTTCATAAGGACGTTAGTCCCCACTCCTACAGGTGGCTTGACTGGATTATTACAAGTGTTTGCTAACGTTCTGGAAGGCAGCACCGCCGGGTTGCAGGGAGGTTAGGAGGGGTGGATGTTGGGGGTGGGGAGGCGGGATAAAGGGGCGCTGGAGCCTGTCCTCAATTCAGGGTGGGGCAGAAGAGACTGGGCTGTGTGGTGGTGGCGAGGGGTGGAGGCGAGGTGGGGGTTCAGTCCACTGGACCATTTTCCTTATGCCTAGTCGCCGTGAGAGGTCACGTGGCTTTAAGCGCTCCGGCGACATTCTCAGAGCCTCAGATCTGACCAATGACAGAAGTAGCTCAGATTGAAATCCAGCTTTAGCTCCAGCCAAAGGCTCTGCCGTTTCTGCTGCATCTGAAATCTGCAACCCCTTTCGCTCGAGTGGAGTACGGCTCCTGAAAGCAGGAGGATGTGGAGCTGTGCGGGTTGAAGGGGGGGTGGGGGGGCCTGCACCTCCCCACACCTAAAACCCCAGCAGCAGCGCAGGAAGAGAAGTGTGTGCGTCCCAGGTGCCCGCACTCTGGCCTGCAGCTGTGCTTCCATGGTGTTTAAGGGCGGGGGCGGTGCGTGGGCATTCAGGGCACGCTCCACGCTCCCTACGGCACGTCCTCAGGCCTCTGGCTGCCCTCCCAAAGAGGGCAGTTTTAAAACTAGCAGTTTTAAAAAAGGGTGATCACGGGGCGCCTGCGTGGCTCAGTCGGTGAAGCATCTGCCTTCAGCTCAGGTCATGATCTCAGGGTTCTGGGATTGAGTCCCATTTTGGACTCCCTGCTCAGCAGGGAGCCTGCTTCTCCCTCCCCCTCTGCCCCTCCCCCCCCGCATGTGCTCTCTCTCTCTCAATAAATGAAATCTTCAAAAAATAAAATAAAAAAGGGCGATCACACCAAGGCTGCACGAGAGGAAGTTATGGACTCATAGTGAATCAGAGTTGCTCATAAGTGGGCATTGAGTCTTCTCTCTGTCCTTTTTTTTTTTTTTTTTTTTTAGAGATTTATTTGAAAGAGACAGAGCAGGGGGATGGGGCAGAGGGAGAAAGAGAATCTCCAGCAGACTCCATGCTGGACGCAGAGCCCAGAGCCTGTCAAGGGGCTCCATCTCATGACCCTGAGGTCATGACCTGAGCCCAAGTCCAGACTCAGACACTTAACCAGCCCTGCCACCCAGGCGCCCCTCTCTGCCCTTTTTAAACCTGCAGTTTATGTGCATGAGCCCTGTTCTTAATATTATCTTTTACTTTGGAGGTTCAAAATCAGAATATCTTTTTTGTTGTTGTTAAGTACAGGCTTGGATCCCTTTTGTTTTATAATAAAAAAAAACTTCAATATGAGACCCAGTGGAGATGTATTTCTTCAAGTTGCTTCCTTCGTTTGTGCCTGTGGGTCGTGTACTTGGCTTCCTGTGTGCCCGAGGTTCAGATGTCATAGAGGCAAAAAAATGAGCTCCTCCTTTTTAAAATGGAATCCGTCTGAAGTTTCTTCCATTTTAGATCCGTTTTGTAACAGAAGCTAACACAGTACATAATTTAAACTGAACTAACTGAATCGGTAGTTCAGCTTAATACACAGCTGCATTATTTCATGGCTGGCTTTAAAAAGAATCCATATAGGAGTACGAAGAAAGAAGAGTTCTTTGGAAATCCCGATCCCCCAAAGTATACAGGCTTGGTTGGAAGATGGTTTGTTGATGTAAACAGAATTTGCTTCTCTGAGATGCCACTTAACCGTTTTTGTTTCTCAAGTATGTTTTCAGGCAGCTCATCTGTGTAAAATAATGGGCTCTTCCTTCCCTCCTGTGCCTGGGAGCTCTTCAGCTTTGTAGAGAATCTCATTTTACTTGTTTTCTTGGTGAAGACAATAAATCCTTAACAAAGGTTAATAACAGAGTGGGAACAGGTGCTGGCCATGTGCCAGACGATCATCAGCAGCAACGCTGAACGCCTTCCCGATATCAACATCTACCAGCTGAAGGTGCTCGATTGTGCTATGGATGCGTGCATCAACCTCGGTCTGCTGGAGGAGGCCTTGTTCTACGGGATCCGGACCATGGAGCCGTACAGGTGAGTCCCCGGGAGAGGGCCAGAGTCAAGGTTGCAGTGTCTTCTCTGGGCTGGAAGACTGACATCCTGAAGTCACTCCGATGGCCACTTTATTGCGTGTCCCCATTTTGTTTGTTGTTCCTGAGGCTCCTGTCGCACGTGTCAGGCCCTGTGGGGATGCGGAGACGGATGAAATGCTGTCTCTGTGGAGTCGGGGATTCCAGTGTTGTATGCTGCTTGCGGCAATGGGGCAGAGGCAGAGTGTGGGGGCGGGGGGGCAGCCGTGGGGGCCCAGGGCTCGGCCCGGGTGGGGGCTGTGTCATTTGCCTCTGGGGCACCACTCTGTCTGGGGCCCTCGGTCTGGCTGACTGATGGTGGTCTCTAACGTTTGTCAGGGCTTTATGGTTCCCGGGGTGCTTCACTGGAATCAAGTGACCCCATAACCGCCTTCTGACCCACGCAGGAGAGCAGGGAGACCTCGGTGCTCAGAAGTGTCAGGGAGTCAGGTGAAGGAGCAGTTGCTACTTAGTTGTTTCTTGACTGTCCGCAGCTCCTTCAGACCAGGGGTGTGTTGTCCCCTGATGCCTTTGTAACTCACAGGAGCTTTGGCAGCGCTGAAGTCTGGGGCTGGTGGGTGCGGGACCCCGTTTGCGGAGGGCCAAGAACGTGAGTTTGGAAGTAGAGGCAGATCAGTCCGGGGAGGAAGGGCGTGGCGTCATTCATACCGTCAGCTGAGGTGGGAGCAACCATCTCGAGCACAGGACAAGGTCCCTCACCGTTGGGAAGGCGCCCTGAAGCCTGGGGGGCAGGGGGCGGGGGAGGTCCCTGAGAGTGGGGGTGCCATTCTGGGTGGCACTGAAGGCCAGGCAAACACAATGTCCGCCCTGAGGGGCCAAACAGAGGGACAGTCCAGCTCCCAGCCTCCCCCATGGGGGGCAACAGGCAGGGGAGGGGCTCTAAGCGAAGGAGGGTGGGCAGCAAGGGTGCACAGACCAGCCACGGCCCCCGGCCCCAGGGTGACCTGAGGGTGTTTTCAGAGCTTCTGAAGGTGGCTCCTTCCCCTGCTTGCGGTCGAACAACTCTGGAATCCAGACTGTGAGTCAGCTCGCATCAAACTTGCAGGCGATTGCCTTCAGGGCTGAGACTGTAGACTTTCCCATGAGCGTCAAATGTCTGCTTGGGATGATGAATCTTGTGGGTTTTCAGAAAATATGAACCGAGCACAAAGAGATAAGGCTTCGTTCTCTGAGCCTAGGTGTTGCAATGAGAGGCGGGTTGGGACCATTGGTGTCGCCTCTCTGAACCCCAGGGCTGGGTCTCGGGAAGCCAAACCACGGGCTGAGCGGATGGACTGAGGCCGGGAGACACAGGCTGGGCAGACCTTCCTTCCTGCAGGTGCCCCCGAAGCCCCTTGCCCCACACTCTGGCTAGTGCTGGACCTGCACCTGCTCCGGGCGGCTGCCCCAGAACCCATCCCCACCCCCAGGCTGCCCTCCGGGCTGCTCTGAGCACAGACACTCGACACTGGTCCCCCACCTCGATGGTGCTGCTTCTGCACACAATTTTGAATCCTCTCCCCACACCTACCATGGCTTCTCTGAAGGACTAATTTACCCCTTAATTAACTGACTTGAGTCAAACAGAGAGGCCTTTCTTGTGAGGCCACGTCCACCAGAATGGACGGAATGTTGTTTGGAATACATCTGGTTATATTTTCCTGGTGTTTGGCAGATCACACTCTGTGCTTACGCCAGGTGACAGATTTCCTAGCCTCCCTCAGTTTCTCTTCCCCAGAGCTTGTTAAGAAGTAGCTGTGCAGTGGTCTATGTTTCCAGAAATCCCGTCTTCATTGATCGATCCACTTCAAACCAGTGGGTTCTGACCGGTTTGCTTGCAGCAGTATTTATTGTAGGGGAAGTAACCCAGCGCCGACGGAGCAGTGAGGGGGATGCTGACGTACTTGGCCTTTCTTCCCGTTAGCTCAGCAAAAGTGAAAACAAGGAACAAATGGGTCAGGTGCTCTGCAAGCCCTTTAACAATCTGGAGGCAGGAATCCAAGAGTTGATGGCGGTTTCCGCCCCCTCCCACATGTGTGTGAGCCTGTGGGCCACCAGCCACTGACTCGGTCTCCCTGCAGATGCGCAAGGTGGGCCCTTGGGTCCCCTTTAGCCAAGAATGTGGGCAGTTAGCTTGGCTGAGTTACTGAGAGGTGACGGGACTGCCACCTGCTCTAACAGTTTTACAATGTTAATACACTGTTTGCAACAGCTAGATTGAGGTTAAGACTCTGGGGATGATGTTCTCCCTCCTGACCTGGGCTAAATCTTAACTACTGACTTTAAAGGAGAAGGTGTCCACATTCTGGTTTTATCCAAATCACCGCATTGCTCTCGGCTCCCTTCTTGCTGCCATCATTTATTTTGACTTGATAGAAGTAAGTTCCTTTTATGACGCAAAACAGTATTAAGATCTTTGTTTCATGGGGCGCCTGGGTGGCTCAGTCAGTTAAGCGTCTGCCTTCAGCTCAGGTCATGATCCCGGGGTCCTGAGATCGAGCCCTGCGTCAGGCTCCCTGCTCAACGGGGAGTCTGCTCCCTCTGCCTGCTGTTCTCCCCCTGCTCATGCTTTCTCTTTCTCTCTCTCTTTCTCTCTCTCAAATAAATAAATTAAATCTTCAAAAAAAAAGATCTTTGTTTCATAAAGTAGGTTGGCATTAATTCACACACAACAAACTTTATCTTTAGCTCATACTGTTTCTTCTGAGAGCGTCTGTGATTATATATGCACGGTCATCTGTCCTGTAGCACTTTGAACATTAAGCAGAAAGAAAGCAGTTTAAAGGTATTTCATAAATTTTCATTAAAAAATGTAATTAAATAATCTTAACCACAAGATGAATTGAGTTGCAAAAGTTCGTTTGCCAGTGGTAATTTAGAGCTTGGGAGGCATTTTCCTGTTGAAGAAGGGATGAAGGATTATGGCAGTATCAGCAGAACAGCCCTTGAAACTCTGGACCCTAATATCACTAGTGTCTGCTACACATTTGTGTAAAAATAGAAAGAAAGAAATATAAAAACAAAATGAATATAGTTTTGAACTTAGAATTTAAATTATGTTGAATATAAAATCAAAGTTGAATTTCTTTAGGACCCAAAGAAAGATCTAGAGATACAGAGGCTTGTTAAGTCCTTGAGGAGGACTTTTGGTGTATCCACATGTGTTCTGGTAACTTAACTTTTGGTTTAAGAATAGCATAGACTTCTGGGAAAGGACTTTCCTAAAGAACAGAAATAAAAATTACCCTCATCTTTCAAACTCCTGTTCCACTCCCTAAAGATAACCATGGTTAAGTTTCTTTCCTGAAGTTTTCAGTGTGTGTACATAAACTTCCGTTTGTAACACACTTGCCTAATTTTTTCAAGCCCCAGTTCTTCTCCTCTCTTTTCCCCAGTGGTTCTCATGTGCTCAGAGACTCTTGTTTTCCCTCTGTCTCACTTCTCCCCTCAAAACTGCTCACTCGGGCTCTTCCCTTTTTCTCCCTCTCCTGTCTGTCTCCCCTCGTCTCATCTTTCTTGTGGAGAGACTCAGTTCCAGTCTGCATTTGCTAGATGTGTCTGGTGAGGTGGTGGGTGAGGAAGGGAGAAGGGAAGGAGAAGCCAAGAAGTCTACTGAGTGGGCAGAAAGAAGAAAATCCCCTGTTCTGGAACTGGCTGTTTTCATTTTACTACAAAGCATGGACATCAGTCCAGATCAGCTCCTGAATATCCACCTTTCTTTTTAACAGGTCTATAGAATTTCATCTTAGGAATGTACCATAATTTGTAGACTAGCCCCTATTTCCATTTCCATTTCCTCTATCAAGAAATACTGCCATTAACATCCACATAGTTGAATCTTTGTGTACTGATGGGACCGACTCCATAGGACAAATCCATGTGATAAATTCCTAAATGCTAACTCATTGCATCAAAATGTACATTCATTTTAACTGGAGATAGCAACCCCCAAATTGTATCCGCCATCCACCAAGCTGTCACTTTCCTCAGAAGCACTGAGAACGGGTGACATGATGTTGATTAAATCTGCTCTGAATTCATTTCAAAATATATAGGGGTCTTCCCCTTTTCCTTGACCAAAGCCTGCTCTTACAGGATGAGATTTGGTGGTATTGACCAACAACATAGTATTTTGTGGTGGCGGGAAGGATATTTTTGTGAGTGTCCTGGGAAGAGCAGAATATGAACCGCGAAGGGGCTCGAACAAGTGTGTGTGGGATCAGAGACTGGGGAGCAGTGTGACTCCCCCTTGTGGATTGAAAAGCATGCTCTCCGCTCACGTGGAGTCCGGTGCCTTGCTGGCAGCTGTGGTGGTGGAGCGGGAATGGAAGGCTCTGGGAGTCTGTGTGTATGACCTGTTTCCCAGCCAGGTGTTTGGGACTCCGAGATTGCCAGGGGTCACACAACAGCCCTGCCATTTTCATTTTGCCAGCCATTCTTGAACGCCCCCCCACCCCACCCGAAGCTTTCGCAGATAGGTTGATAAAATGCAAGGTTCCATCACAGCAGTACCCGCCACTGCTGTTTTCAAGCTGGCTTCTCTTCTGAAGACCTGTGCAGTTGCTCTTTTGTGTGTTTTTGTCATTGATCAATATGACGTGGTGATCCAGGACCCAGTGGGGTGTGCAGGTGCCGTGCGGACCCGGCAGAGCACTGGTCACTATCACTCACCGGGCACTTACCTGGACCTGCCTGTGCCCAACCTGCATCTCTGCTCCCCACAGATGTGGTCAGGTTGCCCTGTGTTGATGCTTATGTCCGTGTACCCGTCACTGAAGCTCACGCCTACATGGCAGGGTCCTTGGCTGGGGTGTCTAGGGTGGAAACTTCCTCTGCCGCACTCACAGCGTGGGACTCAGAGGACACACCAGAGCCAGGTCTCTACCCAGGAGGGGACTTGAGTGTCCACACTCCGTGCAATGTTCTGGTCATTTCCCTTGCTGGCCACCTGTTTTCTGTGGTGAG